CCAGCCATTGGCCAACAGATCCGACCATGTGCTGCTGTACACCCTCACTGTTCCGATGTCGGTGCCGAAGACATCGTCGAATTCGGTGCTCACCTTGGAGGTGGACAGAAGACCGGCCATCTCCTCCTCCGACGGCACTTCCGGCCTCAAAGCCTGGGCATAAAGTTGCTCAATATATTCCACTATTTGCTGTATGGCCAGCGGACCAATCAGGGCAAATAAATCACCGGCCAGTTTCAAAATGCCGCCCAGGGCAAACATGCGCCAACTGTTCTTCAGATAGCAATACCACAAGGATGGGGACGAATTTGATTTTTTCTAAGGACAAAACTTGTCACGAGATATATACTATATGCGTACTGGCAAAGTTTACCCACCTTCTTCTCAGTGTAGATGTACAGAAAGTGGTCGTAATGCGACCTGGCACTATCCTCCAATTTCATTTCACCCAAATCCTCCAGTTCCAGCGGTTCCTTGTAGCCCAACCACAGCAGCGGTGTTAGCCACCAGAAACAGGACTTGGAATAAAAGGTGGCCAGCGAGTGCTTGTAGCCTATTTTGCCATAGTCGTCCACATAATCATCGTGATAGCACTGCTTAAAACAGATAGCATTTAAAAATAAAAACTTTACTGAATTTAATTAATAGTAAATAGCGAAGCTCCAACGACAATTGTTAAAGCATAAAGCCCACAGTTATATCCACAGACCCACCATTTTGTTCATTTAAATATTCAACTCTTCATTTCCTACTTCGCTTGTTGTCCTGGGACTTATCCTGTGGCCAAGCCACAAACTACTGCACAAAAAAAAAACACATTTCCGCCAAGTGTAGAAGGCATTAAGCTCAAAATCTGCACTTAACCTCAATTAAAATTTAAACATGCAAATCGCATTGCGATGTTTGGCTTCCTCTGTTGTGCCAACTTGCATTTATTTGCAAAATAATGAAATAAATACGCTTTTGTTGTTGCCATAAACGCTGACGGTGGTCATTTCTAAGTTAATCTTTATACGCCTATTTAATTCAGTTATTAATTGATAATGCTTGACTAGTATAGCAATTTCGGGATATTCCAAATTCTTCTTTTTAAGGTACATTTTATTTTAAATGAACAATAGAAAACGGTTTTGAAAGTATCATGTCTAATTAACAGTATGCATTCTTTTAGCCTGTGTTTATAAGAAAATGTTGGTTTAAATAAAGACATCTAAGAATTTTTTTAGTTTTAAAAAGGTTCCTTCCCCTTAAATTAAATTTTAATATTTTTGATATTTAAATTGCTATTTTAAGGGAAAAAATGTGCCTTTTGAAAAACATATTTAAATATTTTTTTTAACAATTGTAAAATCATATTTCTTGATACATATTTAATAAAACTATTTTTAACGATTGCAAAATCCAATTTTTTAATACAATTGACTGTCGTTCTACACGAGTTAAAATCAACTTTTAAACAGCTTGAAAAACTCCATTAAAATTATAAAAATGAGGTAGTTTTGAAACAAACCATCACTTTTAAATCGCTACGTTTAACTGCTTTAAATATTTTCCATTTTTTTCGGCAATCTTATAAACAGGCTTTAAGGTCTTAACTAAATTTGAGAACGTTGGTAAGGTCTCACCTCTTTATATATAGTAAGCCCGTCCAGCAGTGCCAAGGCCATCATGCACATGGCAGACATGCCCACAAGGCACGTCTGGAGCTCCAGCAAATCCTCGTAGGTCGCCAGCTCAGACAGCTCGTTGGTGAGCAGGGCAAATGTCAATACCTCCACGGCGGTACTGGCGTACAGAAACACTAAAATCGGGCAAAAAACGAGAGTGGGACAGGTGTCCAAGGACTAAGTTGCCTTGCAGATCGGCTAGGCACACTCACCTGTCGCCTTCTTGCGCTCCACCATGCGATGGTACAGCATTAGCCAAAGAGTCAGCAAAGTGGAGAAAAGCGCATTCCACACTTCTCCCGACCCGACCACAATCAAATAGTTTCGATCCCTGGGGTTCAGCCTAAAAAGATGGTTTAGCTGGCGAACATCGCGGTGGGGCAGAAGGGTCCTGGAGAGTTCCAGGCTATTCACAGCCAGCAGGAGCAGGGAAACCGCCGCACGTCCATTGTGAAACATTAGCAATGTTTTATGGCATCTGCATTAAAAGGGCGGAAATGTGGGGGTTGGGGAAAATAGGTCTTTTATAATGTGTCGTGCACTGGGTGTCTCTTTATTTCAGTTCCTTAATAGTTTTAAACTTATTTCTTAAATATAAATCACATATCTAGAGGGACACGTTTTTGTTTTTTAAATAATTAAACAAATTCTGAAGTTAGGTTCTATTCCGGTTTATACGCGCACTTAAAAAGATAGGTTCTTGAATCTTAGATTTTTCGATTCATTTCTAGACTACAAGAGTAGTAAAATTTCTCGGCTATAAAATAAACAAATACCTCTAAGTTTCTGGTCGAAAAATAATACAAATCAATTACAAAGATAAGAAAGATTGAAAAACATAAGTCATAAACCAGAAAAGATTTTTTTTATAGATAACATAAAAATATTTTATAACAGGTATTAAGGATCTTTATTTTTTAATCAGAAAGTAACAGTATGTCTAAATGTCAATTTTAGTTGTTTTTGGTTGCCAAAGATTTATGTGACAGCCCCAATAAAATATTGAAATTTATGCCCTACGGATCCAGTCATAAATGCGTGCATGTTTCTATAATTAACTGCACTGCCTAATGATATTGATTTCGTGTGTTGGGTTTGTATATTTATTTATATGAGCGCGCGCCCTCAACGCAAAGTGCGTTGGATATGCAATTGAGATTTACTCATTGAGAATACTTTGGCACGCGATGCGTTATTTCTCGAATCCGGAATGCTATGTTGATTATTTTTCAGCTTCGCTCCGGGGTGCATATGATTTTCAATGGCGTATGCACTTGGAGTCCGGATATCAATAATTGGTTTTAAAGTGGATTTTAAAATGTATAGGGAAGATTACATATTTATATTTATATAGTTTCGGTAAATGACGTCCGATTGTTTTACGAACAAAATCACTACATTAGGTTTTAAATCAGTAAGTAAAAGAAATTACACTTACATTTATTTTTTTTTTTTTGGTCAAAAAAACTAAAATTTCTAAAAATAAGTATATTTTTTTATTAAATAATTAAAGGGCTTACAATTATATCTTACATATTTGAATAAAGTTAGCCATTAGCTTAAAAATACAACTGCCATTTGCCACGTATGTTTATGTGTAAGTGATGATGTGCCAAAATTATAAAAATTATCTATTTTATTAAGATGTTGTGTTATCTAATGCAATAAAATTTCTCTAAAAATTTTTTAAACCTCTTAATCATTGAGGTAAAAGACTCTAGCTCCCTCATCTTTTCTCCAGAATTCGTATAATCTACAAACGCATGTGCTAAATTTAAACAAATGTGCTCATTTGCTTGTCTATTATATATGTAGATATGTGCATTTGTGGGATTTATTTACATACTTGTTTTGGCCGAAATTGTGCAAGGAGTGAACTGGATATCAAGCATTTAATGATGATCCCATAGAAAAGCGCCAATGGAGGTAATCAAACACACAATACATCTGACCTAATTTTAGTTTTCTAACTCATTGTAAACAATACAAAACAAATTAAACAAAGCAAAAAGTGCTTTAATGTTAGTAAAACATGCAAATTTGCCTTTTTAATGCCAACGGTTACAGATGTAAAACATTAAAAACTGTGGGATAAAGAACAATCAAAATCAAATTAAAAAAAATAACAAAATTTCCCCCAAAATTAACATTTTCTTTTAGATTTTTCAATAATCTATAAACTCAACAATCTGTCAATCATTTTTATTTTATTTCAAAAACAACGCAACTGTTTTTACAAAAGCTTATACATTAGTTTACCGGCATTGATGATCAATAAAACTCACTTTTTATATCTTTTCCAAACAAATATCCATCCCAAAAGTAGCACAAAAATGCTCAAGCACGCAAAAACACGCCTCACACGGTCAATGCCACAAACATCTGTATTTAAATTATCATAAATAGAGCGTACATGCCCATTCAAATGATCACAGTGTATTATATTGAACAACTGCTTCATAATGGCCAATAAAACAGAAACTTGTGGCCAGAATTATATGATGTTTGCTAACGTTTGCACTGGCGCCTGATTTTTTTTAACTTAGCAAAGATTTCACTTTTCGATTTGTGATTTCATTTCGAAATATTTTCCTCCCGTTGCGCATATTCTTTTACGCTTCTTTGCATCGCTCACAATTAAATCCGATTCTGTAGGCATTCACTTTCAAAACTTTCGCGTACAACAGGTTGAACAACAGCAAATACAGAAACGCTCAATATAAACAAAATATTTCGCAATCGGGAATATGCACTGCGATTGCCCGCTGGCGCAATATGTGTTATGCGCTATGGATCCAAAATTAATTTCGCTTCAATGTGAGAACCCGTCGCGTCCCCAGTTGCCATTCAATTATTATTCTTTTAAGTAATTTTTGTATAAACAAAAAAGGCAGCGAGAGATATGTGTGGCGCACGTTTCCCGCGATAAAGAAAACTTCGAGAGAAGAAAAGGCCAACCGACTTCGACCGAGCGTGGCGGCTCACTAACCAGACTCTCGCACGCCGGAAAAATCACGAAGACCCACACGCCCGAACTTGAGAAGATATGCCACTGATCTGGGGGATCGCGCACGTGCGCGATGTGGAAAAGCTCTTCCCACATCGACCAATTTGTCGGATGCTCTGTACTGATATGAGCGGCCTATAGAAGCCGTTTTAATCGAACTCAAGCAAAACAATCAAATATGAAATTATTAAGTACAATTATAATAGTTCACTATTCAGTTAAAGCAAATGCAATCAAATCTAATTAAGATCGTTTTGTTAAACAAGTAATGTAATTTTCGATTCAAGTATATTTTTTGTTGTTCTATTACTAAACTAGATTTTAAGTTTTAGCTTTCATTTTCGAGGTCTTGAATTTATTGGATGAACTTTTAAATTTAAAGATTTTTAAATGTAATTTCCTAATAATATTCTTTAGTTATGTATATCAATTTTATAAGAATAGACTTAAGATTTTCCACTATATAGTGCTTTTTGGTTCTTGATGATTTCAAATAAGAACATAACTGTGTAAAACACTGGTAATTATAATGATAGCAATAGAAGACGGTCATTAGACCAAACCAAATCGAATTAATTAGTTAACTATTAAAGTCAATTATTTAAATAAAAAAATCGTATACTAAGCTAGACGCAGCCAGCGATGAAAACAAAGACTTAAGATTATCTAAACGGAGGAGAAGTAGTCGCAGCAGCCGCACATGTTATAAAGGTGTCCCGAAGAAGGTTCGATGAAGAATCGCAGGGCCTGAGTGCATTGGAGCTCGTGGCTGGTGATTTGCTGATGCAGCAGTTCCTGTAATTGTTTCTCATTTGCAGCATGCTCAAACTGGATGCCACACTCGCAAACAAAGGCAGTTTTTAGGCGGCTCAGAGTTTTTATCTGACAAACTGGGCACAGAACGTTCTTTTGCTCCTCATCCGGTTCGACAAACAAGGTTTCCAGGTTCTTTTCACCCAGGGCATACCACTCGTTCACATCCGACAGTAGCTCGTCCAGGATGAGTTGCTCCAGCTCCAGATCTGCTTCCATTTCATTGAGTTCCAGGCGAAGGATATCCTTAAGTTCCGACTGAATAGAAAGGTAGTTAACTAAGGGTTTTCTATGAGTAAGTAATCAAAAATTTATTAGCTTACCAGTTGTATTTCGCGATTGGCGTCCGTGCACCTATTCCTGGTTTCTATAATGCGCTTGCGGTACTTCTGTAATAGTAAAAATCTAGTGTAAATGATAATAAGGCATGGTTTACTATAGTTTTTACCTCTCGCAGCATTTCGCGGAGTTTAGGCATTTGCATTCCCATTCGCTGTCTTTTGGCGACATCTTGAGCATGCCGCTTTTGCTCAACGGAGGTATGATAAACAGGGCTTTGTGTGGAGTTCATTTGGTAAATTTTTTGCTTAAGAATAAAGGTAATCTGAAATACACAAGAACATATCATTAAACGAGTGTCATTGGTCCCTAACCTACCTCAAAATTCACTGAATCAATACAATATCAGCAAATTACTGATGGAATATCGGGTTGTAGAGACGGTAATTGTCTGCTATTTTAATAATAAAACAAAAAATAGAGAAACTATTTGTTTGTAAGTGCATTAAATCATTTAATTTGAATCCAATAAACCAGACATACTTAAATGGTCATAAATGCACTTACATTTTATCAAATTTCTAAAGGTACGCTATACACTACGCTAGGTAAATGCAATAAAAAAACAAGGCTGGTACATATTAACTATATAAACAAATGCAAAGCAATAAAATGCTGGGCAGCAAGCCCTAATCAGTAGAAATTTTATTAAACTACTTCAATCTTGGCAAAAAAAACCAATCTAATTCGGCGAATCAGCGACTGAATCTCAGTATTTCCAAAAAGATAAACTGTTTAAAAGCTATTTAACAACAACGGCACACTTAATATGTTTATTAACTCACTCAAAGCTCTTAAAATGTTATAAACAAGCGTGAATAGTTAAGAAACCAACATGAATTGCCGAAATTCCGCGCAATCTCCTGTTGATTCGCCACTGGCAAGTGATGATACTTCTTCGATAACTGTTATCGCAGCTGGTGTGACCGCTCCGCCGATAGATCTCGTGTCACGTTTCGTGGCAGTTTCCAACACCGAACGCAGGGTTGCACTGTTTTGACAGCTCGTACATGGCGTAGCCTACGTTTCCGGTCTTTCTTTCCCTTTCTTTTACCAGCGTGTGTAGTGACCAGTAAAAGGTTAGTGCTATATTTTCCAAAAAAAATTCACCCAAACTTGAGAGGAAACCACTCAAATGCAACTGTTTTGTGCCGCCCACAGATGCCTGCTCCGGTCGCCAAGAAACCAGCAGCGAAAAAGCTGCCCGCCGTGCCGGAATCGAAGCTGAAATTCAGCAAGAAACAAATCACCAAGCGGGTGGCCGATTCGAAACGTCGCCTCAAGAAGGCCGCCGTGATTGCCCTGCGCAAGAAGGAGAATCTGGTGCGCGCAGAGAAGTACCAGAATGAGTACATCAAGGCTGATCAGCGTGAGATCAAGCTGCGCCGCTTGGCCAAGAAGCGCAACCAGTTCTACGTGCCCGCCGAGGCTAAGTTGGCCTTTGTGGTCCGTATCCGCGGGTGAGTAAATGCCAGCATCCGGATCAAATCTTAGCCAGCTGCTCTAATTGCCGACTTTCCGCAGTATCAACAAGGTGGCGCCCAAGGTCCGTAAGGTGCTGCAGCTGTTCCGTCTGAGGCAGATCAACAACGGCGTGTTCATCAAACTGAACAAGGCCACCATCAACATGCTGCGCATCGCCGAGCCCTACATCACCTGGGGCTACCCGAACCTCAAGTCCGTGCGGGAGCTGATCTACAAGCGTGGATTCGTGAAGCACAGCCGCCAGCGTGTGCCCATCACCGACAACTTTGTCATCGAGCGTAAGCTCCGCCAGGCGCACAACATTCAGTGCGTGGAGGATCTCGTCCACGAGATCTTCACCGTGGGGCCCAACTTCAAGTATGCCTCCAACTTCCTGTGGCCCTTCAAGCTCAACACGCCCACCGGCGGCTGGCGCAAGAAGGCCAACCATTACGTGAATGGCGGAGACTTTGGCAACCGCGAGGACCAGATCAACCGTCTGCTGCGCAAGATGGTCTAGACGATCCACTTGATCCATTTGCTTGTAGGACAAAAGCTGCGGTTCGATGTAAACAGTGAGAGAAAATAAAAGTTACTTTTATAAACCCACGAGTTGCCGTTCAGTACAAAAACGCAGTGTTTTCGCTTCAACAAGGTGATGGTAACTATGTGTCAAGAACTTTTTTTAAGAATTAGGTTTGAAATGTTTCGCGAAAAAGTCGTGTTTTAGGTATTCCAAAGAGCATATCTTTTTGTTGAAATGGTGATTAGCTAAAGTTCCCAAACTAATAAAAGTACAATTAATAAATTTCTTTATTTCAAAACCCCATTGTTATTTACACAAATGCCAGAAGCTTAAACACAACAAATAAATCCAAATTTTTGTTAGCATTTGTACAATTTTGCCATTTTCTTTTAACTTTTTTTTTTGTTTACAAATGCAAATTTTAAATTACGTTGAATATTTGGCAATCAGAATTTAAAACTTTCTATATAAAATATTAAGGCTTTAATTTTTTGAGTGCATTTACCAATCACTTCCAATCCAAAATAGTGCGTATCCAATTAAAAATTAAATCAATAATTTTTTGAAGATTTAACACTTCACGATTTCTAAACAAGTACTATATTCAATTCTTTATTTTGATGTAACTCAATATTAAACCAATTACTTACCGAGTTCCTTATAGAACCAATTAGCTTGGAAGTTTATAACCATTTGGGAGTTTTTAACTAGGCCTTTTTTTTGCCCAAAAAATAATGCACAGGATTGTTTTCAATTTATCTACGCTCTAGATTGTTTATTGTTGTTCTGGTCAAATTTTAAGCGCGCTTAATGCACAACACTTAAATGCAGATAGCATGCTAGATTCAGGGTGCCCATGGGGTGAAATTGTTAGCCAATTGTCGCTTTATTGAATACATCATTTGCCTTTCAGCTGGCAGTGGATTTTAATCAATTTTTACACAAAATATAGTCCAAAGCAGGTAGCAAACAAACATAAATATAAATTCCAATTGCATGGAAATTAGTCAATAATCGGGGGGGAACTGGCACCCTTTTAAATGTATAATTTAATTAATTGTTACCACATGAAGCACATGCCGTTGTCCGCTGTAAGATTCCCGTTTCTACTGGTGTCCACCAGCCTGCGTGGCGGTCACGTGCATGTTCTGCACCAGCCGCTGGCCCCAGTACTCCTCCAGATCGAATGGCTTGAAGTTTTTCAGCTGATTATCAGGTTCGTTGCAGTAGATCACTGGTGGTCCCTGTTCGTAGACCTGGAGAGAAAGCAAAGCATCAAGAGCAACCGAAAATTTACACCAGGGACCGCAATCAATCATCAATGGTTTCATTTTATTTTCTAGTTGTGTACTCATCAAAAACAAGTAAAATCACTTGTAGTTGTTTTATGCATACATATGTATATTTATTTACTGTTGTGACGAATTTTCAGCTTTCGTAAGTAATAAACTTAGTAAAATTACGAGGTAAGAGCTAACTCAAAAATATTTTCTCGGTCTGTTTCTGCTTCGAATTTAAACTTCTAAGTCTAATTTGATTTGGAAAACACTTCTAATAAAAAGGTAAAATCAATAAAGTTTTATTTGTTTAAATTTTAAAGGTATTTCGTAAAACCATAGATATCATTGAATTTTTGTTTTGTTAAAAAAACAATGATTTCTATGTAACTAATTAATTAATTAATAGTTAATTCTGCATTCTAAAATATTTGGCAATTATCTTATATTGGATTAAAGTGTTCCAAGTGATTTTAAATCTCTTGTTCTTGGTTGTGACCGGAAAAATGCATAATTAAGTTTGGAAAACTTCTATATAATTAAAGTAAAAGTTCGACTGAATCATTTTTGTACGGTCCCTGTTTTTCGGGGGAAGAAAGCGGAGCAGGGTGACAAGTGTATGGACTTCTGGGTCCGAATTTTCGGGGCCTTACCTTGTTCCATGCCTCCCGGATATATCGGATCAGCTCGTCGTGCTGCGAGATCGGCAAGCTCTGTTGTTGTTGTTGTTGCTGTTGCCCGGCGGCTGTCGCATAAGGCGCATTGCTGTTGTTGTGCGTGCCGACGAACGACGAGCTTCCGGCACTGTGATTGTTGTATCCCGGTGAATTGGACGCCCCCGCCGCCGAGTTGTTGTTGTGATGATGGTGGTAGCTGTGCGGCGGATTGTGTCCGCTATTCTGGCGTCTTATGTTGTAGGGGTAGCGTCTATAGGGAAATAACGGGAAATATCTCCTTAATACAGTGCCACAAATTAAAAAAAAATTCATTTCTGCTGGAAATTTCTTTAAAAAAAAAGTTTTAGAAAAACCAATTATCAAACCTTTTTTTCAAATCAACCAAAGATTATGCTTTGGAACTGAAAAACACTTTAGAAACTCTAGATTTAAAAAAATAAAAAAACAGATAAAAAAAACAAATAAAATGTAAGTTCCCAAGAATTAATAGAATTTCAAAGACGTGGTAAAATTTTGGAAAACAAACTATCACTACGTGTACTTTACAACTTTATTTTATAGTCAAGCCACTATAATTCCTGAGATCTTTAAGTTTACACGGACAAATAGACAAAGCTTAGTCGGATGTTGGTTCCGATCAGTAATCCACGTATGTACATATATACAAATGTTTATATGAACATTGATTGAAATGTTTCTTTTTGACATACTTTTGCACGAGTACAATGTACCATTGTATATCATAACAATAATGAGTATTAAAAGGAAGATCGGACATACAGACGTCCCATGTATATACCCGTGGATGTGCGTATGTGTGTAAACACTGTATTTTGTCGTCAGATGCACACAGCCTTAATGCGGGCAAAAGTACCGTTTGTTGAGCCCGTGCTGCAATCCCGATACATTACCCGTTATTGCGATCCATATTTCCGGGTCCTTTTATGAAATTCAGCTCCTCAAATTGTCTTGTTTATTGCCGAAAATGTACTTATATTCGTACAAATCTTTTCTCTTTTGCAGTAGTGTGACCGCTGCTGGTCTGAAAAAATATACCAAAACGTGTACTAAAAGTGAATACCCTTTGCATTTTAAAAAACATATATATTTTTTCACATCGGTTGTTTTAAAATTTTTTTGTCAACGCTACAATAAAAAGTTTTTTAATTTTACGCCAATAACTTTTAATAAACAAAGAGCATACAAAAAATGTTAGTTTACTTAAATCATTTAAAGTTTTGCAGAAAACAAATACTTTAATATTTTTTTAGTCTCCCAAGGTACTATTTAATTACATCTTTTTCTTCTTTAACAGTTTTTTAAATGATTATCTTTGATGACTGGAAATATTCCATGAATCATTAATAATCACAAATCAACCCGATATATTATATACTTTGGCTTCATCAATTGGAACCTTTTCTTCATTTTGTAAACAGTCATAGTCACCTTTACTTACAAAATAACATAAAATATGAATAAGTAATTCGACTAAAAATAAATGGTGACAACGTCCAAACATTTTCGTCATTTATTCGAAAGTGAATCAACAGATAAGGGAATGTACATACATTTATAATTGTTTTAGGGAAAAATCCATTTGGACTCCCTATTTCATTTGCCATATTTATCAGTACATTTATTTTTGTAAAATGCATAACATATTTTTCATCTAACTCTAAAATAAAGAAGTTCAAGTACATACATATATTACAATACAAGAAATAATAAAAGAGATAAAAGGTTTCGTCAAATTCCCATTTACAGATCATTTACAATAATTCAACATTTAGATATAAATAATCATGGTGAGACGAGCCATTAATCTTGAGCATTGGCTGCGCAAATCCTTTTTAGGATTCGTAACACTTGCAAGTAGCAGAGGGGATAGTGTCTTTTTGTATTACACACATATAAAATCTTTAACCTTAGTCAAATGAGTCAAGCTGCTTCTGCACTCACTACCAGCAGTTGGATTTAATCTAGTTTGGCGGCCCTTTTCTCGGAAAAGGCAATCAATTTGGCAACTTGCGGCAAGCATTACCTTAGCACATTCATAGATCATCGTCCCCGATGCCTTCAAAGGCCTCGTTGGACACCCTTGCGGCATTGTCAGCCACATCGTTGCGGAAGAACACAGCTCCAAATGTGCGGGATGTCGTCATCCTAGGCTTGTTTCTTGGGGCCGAATCCTCGGACAGAAACCTAACTGGCGGCGTTGTGGGCGCCGTGGACGTAGAACACGAGGAAGATGCCCACGTTGATGTGGAGCACGTCGAGCTCGGCGTCGATGAGGACGATGTGACCGCCGTTTGCTCCTGCTCGTCGTCGCTGCTGCCATCCGCCTTCCCGCCTTCACCACGGTGCAACAGTTCGTCGACCATCGCCTGCAGGCACACGGACATCAGCATGGCCTGCTCGCTATTTATGGTTATCCAGCGCAGCGTCTGCTTGCCAATCAGATACTCGAACGCCAGTTGGAGGTGCGAGGGCTGCAGGCGTGACTCCAGCGTGTTGTGGGTAACGCTGACGCGCCACGATCGCATCCTGGTCACCCGGAACTTGGTCTCATAGATCTTGACGCCTCGTGCCGTGCGCAGTCCTAGCTCCTTGTTGCCAATGCTGACCAGCGCCATTGTATTTGGCTCCGGATAATCCACTTGCGCCTCATCAAACTGCAGGCAACCGTAGGAGGGCAACTGGCGCACCAGGTCCATGTACTCGCGCGGTCTTCCCTGCAATTGCAAGCAGCTTAGCTGACGGCCTTCGCCGGGCGAACAGATGACCACCCACTCGCGGTTCACATCCGCCACGGTCTGGTTGTACAGCAGATTCAGGGCCACCTTGCTCCCAGTTAGCTTGGCATCTCGACTCGAGTCCCAGTAGCAGGTACGGAGCAACAATTCGCAGGGCTGCATATGCAGACGCGTAATGTACGGCGACTCGAAGTCCATGAGGCGACGCATCAAGTGCAGGTCGTCGGATTTCCGCTGGCGCCGCACAAGGAACAGACAGAAATAGCGCACCAGCTCGTCGGGCAGCTGGAGATCTCGACAGACGCTCCTCAACAGTGCCCTGGAGTTTTGCTGCACGGAACAACTGACCAGGATGCGTTCGCCGGCGGGATTAGTGTAGACCTGTACCTCCAGCTGCTGTTCCTCGCAGTCGCTGGTCACCTGGCCTTCGGCGAGGGCCGTGTCCAGTTGGGCCCGCTGCAGGAACTGCTGCAGGTGGGCGGATCGCGCGAGGCGGCTGTCTTGACCCACCGCCTGCAGGTATTGCTCCAGGGCACTGCGACGCGCCTCCAACTGGCCATTGGTCAGCGGCAGGAGGCGTTTGGGTGGGAACGCAGGCAGGGGCACGCCCACACAGTGCCTGCGCAGCTGCTCGTTCAAGGAGTGCAGCTGTTTGTAGCGCAAGACGCTGTGGTAGCAGCCGTTTATGTGTAGGTTGTAGGCCGTGTAGGTGGGCGCAGAGCCCATCTCCTGCGTGTCCGGTATGGAAAAGTGCATCCTGGTGTTGTGCGTCGGCGCCCGGCCAGCGGATTACACCTGCATTGTCTCCCTGCTTCTCTGCCAAGCGCAGCAATTGGTGTCAATTCAATTAATTCAACTTCAATTGCTGAATTCGTTTTTTTTTTTTGCTCAACTAACACCACCGTCGCTGCCAGTGTGACCGTGCTTGCAATGAAGGAAAATGACAAAGCGCTTATGAATATTACAACTTCAGTATATTTTTTTAACGTCTTTGGAGTCAATAAAACCTATTTAATTTATATTTGGTCCATCCGTTTTTGCAGTGCCAAAAATGTAAATTTTGCAATTTTTTAATGTTTCAAATAGCATATTTCTATAAAATATTAAGCTGATGGTTTCGCCGTGCAACCCTAACACTAAAATCGTATGGGAACGATTGGGATTTTTATCCCGCTTAGCACTATCAATCAGTGCCATAAGCGCAGTAAAAAGTGTAAAAACAGGGTTGCTTTGTTTGAATCAGACAAAATCAGCTGTTCAATGCGGTTTTTAAAAAATGCGGTCTGTTAAACCGTGGTTTCGAAAAAAAACTAAATTGCTTGTATCAAGGGAAAATTCATAACTTAATCAGTTTAGCTTTGATCAATTTAACGAAATATTAATAAAATATTAATTAATCACCTTAAAAAATGTGGGCTTTTCAAAACTCCAATTATTGTAAATTTCTCATTGAAACTTAATTGAAAAATTTCATTGTTAATAGTCAGTCGTGGACCCAGATAGGGGTGAATTAAAATTTATTGACAAATTAGTATCAGTTAATGTTTTTTTTAGGCGATCTCGTTTAACAAATTGTATTACAAGTCAACTGGAAACTGAACTTCTCCTTTGAGCATAACCACTCCTGAGGGATTAACTTTTACTTTGATCTTAGTGTTGGGATATAAAACGCCATAGTCAACATTTTCGTAGAGGTCCTGAAAGACAAAGGTTTAAAAATCGGGCTTGATCAATACCAGCGAATGTAACTAAAAACATACCTCTACTCTATACCCAGAGTAATTAATAAGACCCAGTTCTTTTAAAGTAACTGATATATCTGATGGAGTTCCATCCGTTCTTCTGTTAACAAAGGCGATTGCGTAGGAGTAAAAGTTTTGGTAAAGTGGACCAATAGGTCTCGACCAAATTTCAATTCCTTTGTGCTTATAAATTCGTCTTCCCTGTATACCCAGTGGATCTTGATCCACTGCAATTATTTTTCTATTTTGTAGAATATGTTTAAATTGCGGACGAATCGTCCTTAAATCAACTGACATCAAAAGTGGGGCAGCCAAAATTGACCAAATTGCGAATTGTGTTTTGGCTTGCTCATAACTTAGTCCAAAGTTTCCAATAATTAACTGAAATATAAGTGGAGATCAGAAAAGTCAGTTTATTTTGGTTATTTATTAATTGGAACCTACCATATCAGGATCGTTCCAATGTCCAGGTCCCGCATTAGGAGCTATTAAATCTTGATTATTGCCATAATAATCGATGATATTTTCGACAGACGCCCAGGAGTCTTGGATGTCATCATAATTTCTCCAAAGGTTGCAATGTGTTTGGATTGCCGAATAGTTTGGCTGTATTCCAGCATATATTTGGTATACAGGCCAACTGCACGAGTATACCATTGATTTTCCTGTACTGTTTAAAAGCCTTCCGAATGTGGAATAGCCATGATCCATATCATAAGGCAGAGCATAGCATCCATCTAATTTTACATAGTCGACATTCCACTCAGCAAATTGAAGTGCATCCTTCTCTTCATAACCGATAATGCCAGGATACCCCGCACAAGTATAGTTACCATAGTCCTCATAAATTCCAAATTTGAGACCTCTTGAATGAATCTAATAGAAAATATAATAAATAAATAACAGAAATGTTAATTAAATTTTTAGTTGATTCATTGTTAAGCCAAAAGCCGCAACCGTAAAGAAATAATAAAAGTATTCAAAGTATATATATCAAATTCCTTTACTTACATAATCAGATAAAGCTTTGATCCCATTGGGAAAACGTTTGCGGTCCGCCACTAATTTTCCATCATGACTGCGGTGCTTTTCTAACCAGCAGTCATCAACATTAATATATTCATAGCCAACAGATGCATATCCATCAGCCACGACAATATCAGTCATAGTTTGAAATAGCTGTTCACTAAATTAAACCAATAATTTTGAAAAACGTATTTTCTATAATTTTTATTTTGAAGTTTACCTTATGCAATTATCTGGATCATTTATGCAGTCAGTATTGCAACGAAATCTTTCCCACGAAAGCCATCCCATGGGAGGAGTTTTCGCAAGACCATTGTCTAGACCGTGACACAAAGTGCTACTCAATAAAATGATCCAAACAATAGATAACATCGCCTTCTAGAAATAATATACTTGTATGTATAAATGAAATAACAAATATTGTAAAGAAAAATACATCTACGAACATAAATGTGGTTTAAAAATGGTTTCAATATAGTAAATTTTAGTGAGCATAAATAATAAATAATAAACAAAAGTCAAACAATTTTATTTTAAGCTGGGACCGTAAATAATGGTTAAACGAAGCAAAATTCTGCAAGTCTAACATCATATACCCTTGCAGCTTTTTTTAAAATTAAATATTCTTTTAAACATTTAAATTTCCAAATTTAATTCGATCTTTCCTATGACAGCACTTTGATATCGTTTTCCGATTTAAACAAAACAAAAAGCGTTATTCTGAGTTATTGTCCAAAAGAATTTAAAAAAAATTGTAATAAGAAGAGGTACATTTTGATTTACTTGATTTACTTTTTTTTATAATCCGATAGTACTTATGGCGGTTATATGATATAGACGCCCGATTTTGATCAAATTAAACTGTAATTCTATAATTTGAGTATTCCTATGGGAGCTCTATGATGTACTTAGTCTTCCGATCCGGCTTGTATACAACCTGCAATAGAAAGACAACTTTTGGGAAAGTTATATGCAGATAGCTTTAAAATTAAATGACTAGTTTGCGTAGAAACGGACGGACGGACATGGCTAGTTCGACTCTCCTAGTGATGTTAATACAAAATATATATACTTTAGAGGGTCGGAAATGTCTTTTCACAGCGTTGCAAACTTCTGACTGAAATCATAATAACCCCTGAACGGGTGTAAAAATGATAAGAATTTAATGTTTATTTTTTAATTTATAAACAAATTGAAATAATAAAGATGATTTTTAGCAAAAATTCCGATTGTTCCAATGAAAATAATATGGACAAATTGGATATTTTAATTAATTATTTCAAAAAATGGCGAATTATAGCTCGTTTAATTATTTTTCATAAGTTTGGATTTAATACTAAAAAAAAGGAATTAGTAATGTAAAAGTAAAGGTTAAAATTGTTAATTGTAAAACGAATTTAAGTCTGGCAACGCTGTGGGAGCCAGGCTTACGGGTTCGTTGAACAATGGGTAATTTAAAGAGAGATAAAAGAGAAAAAGGTCTGGGTCAGTAAAAGAGCAGATTATGTATGTATGAGTGCCGATATTGTTCTCACTCTATTGTACTCTATATAATAACAACAAACAGCATAACAACAGTAGCGTAATATTAATTCACAACATGCTGCTAAAAAATTATCCACATACACACACTACAATACAAATCCGTTGATATTGTATAATATGTAAATTATAAAAGTAGAACGAATTTTTTAAGTTGGTATAATTAAAAGCTGTGTATTTACGTACTCTCTGCCAAGTTTAATTGTTGTCAATTTTATCCGTACGTACACTTAAAAGAAAAAAATAAACTAGTTTGTGAACAGAAATGTATAGTACATACCAATGATTTCTATTTGTATATTTGCACCTCAATTAAGTAATTGAGTTTTCCGCATTTGAGCCGGTTTCTTTAAGCAAAGCAGAGCTTAAGACGGATTTTTCCATTGCTGCTTAAATATTAGATTTTTTTTTAATGTTAACATAAATATTTACCAATTAAATTAAGGGTTTTTAAAAATATTTATTATTATTCCAATATTAATTTGTTTAAGTAATTTTTAGCACCATTTTGTGAAATCCGAAACACTAATTATGTGGCAAAGGCATACATTAAGAACGTATGTACATAAATATGTATATAAATGTATGTGTATACATAAAAACTCGTTAAAAAACCAGTTGTTATTATGAGAGATAAACGTTTGCTCTCAGCAATCAATTTTTTCCTTTGAAGTTGCATATTTACATACTCATGTATTAGGTTTCATTGAATACTACAATTAATTAAACTAAAGTTTGTACAAAAGAAACGCTTTAACTTGGTTTTTGTCAAAAATTGTTTTTATTTTATTATCTATAAATATGATTTACCAGATTTAAGATAACTTATTCTACTTTGTTTGCCAAAACAAATTTAATCAAAAAAAAACCTTATTATTCAAACAGAGGGCTATAATTTTTGTTTATTAAAAGTTATTCAGTTTTATTATTTACTAATCATGATTATAACAAACCTTAAATATTTACTCTATTTTGTACATATTTAACACACATTATTAACTAACAAGTATCAATAAGCTTTATAAGATTTCTGTCTCGAATAAATTGACATTTCTGCTCAAATTGAATAAGCGATTCTTCCATCCTTGCAAACTCAGAATTAATCATTTTATTGTTCTTTCTGATTTGAATCAGAAATTTATCCATGACGGAAGTATCCTCCTCTGAAAGGACTGTAAATTAAATGATTTATTATTTGTTTTAGAACAAAGTATAAATTAAAAAAAATATATATAATTAAAAAAAATATATATAATTAAAAAAATATAATAATACAAAATTTTGAATTTAAACCAACTTTAAAATATTACTTTTTTTTAAAAAAATCTTTGTTCATTAGGAAATTTGAGTTGTTTTTTGTACGTGTAAAATTTGGAAGCCAAAACATTTAATTAAACAAGTAAAAAATGTACTAACGAATAAAAACGAATATAAATATTGTATATGTACAAAATAAAGTTTACCTTCTTGGCTTTGTTGCATTACTGGCGGAGTTCCAGTCGAAATTGTTGACAAGTTTGAACGTCCAATTTTTTCACCGCTTTCTACAAACTGGGCAATAACATTACGAAATTTCTCGGGTATTAGAAACAGCCTATCAACGTTGCCCTTTTTGTAGCACAGATAAGCACTTTTCATTTGAAACCATTTTCTCCTAATTTGTGTGGGAGACTTATTTGGAAAGCCTCGCTTTTTCATCTGGTTGGCAATTTGAACAAATGTATATTGCGTGGTGCTTGTGGACAAGGCTCCTTGGCAGTTGTTCACTTCCTTTATCAAGTCGAGCATGCACTCTATTTCGGCGGAAACCCAAAAGTTTCTTTTAAGTTTTTCGGACTTCATATTTCTTATAATTTTCTGAAAGAAAATATATCTTTGACTGTTTTGTTGTTCTTTCAACCAGTGTGACCGAATACTAAGAACTTTATTATCTTTTGTGGTGGAACGATAGAATTTTGAACTTGGCTTTTAATTTTCCCGCTAAATGTCTAAAAAAAATACTTTAATTATCCACGCTTATGATTTTTTAAGAACTTTACAAATTACGTACGTCCATAATTTATTTTTTGTGTTTTAAATATTATATTAACAATTTAATAATTGCTTTTGGAAATTCTGGAATTTATTTTAATTTTTTTTAAATTCAATAGCCAAAAAAAAAAACAGTTGATTCGTGTAAATTTCGAAATTTCAAATCACATATGATCAAAGAATGAAGCCAACAATGTAATGTCACAAGCCCATAAGGAATACCGAAAATACTCCAAACCAAGTTTAGGTATATTTTGTAAAAAATACCGCATATTTTTTGGTCACATGTGACACTGAAACCTGGCAACCCCTTCGTTTATCCACACGCCTGTTGCTTTTCTTGACAAATAGTTTTTTTTTTTAATTCCCTAAACGGGACTTGCTAGTTCTAACTTTTGAATAGAAAGTGGCACAGGTAAATACCTGTACAAAACAACTGACTGCCTGTCAGTTGAGAGCATAAAAGTTAAACGACTTTACTCGATCCTTGCATCTTTGTTTACATTTTTTTTGGCCAAGAAACGTGCTGCGATAGTGTAAATAATGGACTCCAAATACTTGGCCACCAGCAAACGAGATGCGGGCGGTCCTTCACCAGTGAAATTCTCGATCAAACGGAAACATGATTCGATTGCAAATAGTCCCATTAATGAGAAGAAAACGCATGTGGCTCAAATCAAACAACCGGTGTCACCAGTTTTGCTGACCAGTAAAAGAACCTCAATCGAACAGCTCCAGAAGTCGTTGCCCGTCTACAACTGCCGCCAGAGAATCCTGAAGGAGCTGGAACTGAACGACACCGTGCTGATAATGAGTGAAACAGGATCGGGAAAGACCACACAGATCCCGCAGTTTCTTCTGCAGGCTGGTTACGCCAAAAGCGGAATGATCGGCATAACGCAACCACGTCGAGTGGCGGCCATCACGGTGGCCCGTCGAGTTGCCCAGGAATTGGCCGGAAACGTTGGCGACACAGTGGGCTATACGGTTCGATTCGAGGATGCCACCTCACAGAACACCAAGATCCGCTTCCTTACCGACGGTGTTCTTCTCCGAGAGTCCATTAAGGATCGACTTTTGCTCAAATATTCCGTGATCATTCTGGACGAAGCCCACGAACGTACCGTCAATGCCGATCTTCTGTTCGGAATAGTTAAAGATGCCCAGAAAGAGAGACGGAAGCAAAGGTTGGCCAATCTGAAGGTCGTTGTTACCTCGGCCACGATGGATATTGATCATTTTGGAAAGTACTTCAATTGCAAAGGATTGTATCTGGAGGGCAGGACATATCCCGTACGCGTAATGCACGCCAAGGAGGAACACGAGGACTATGTTCACACCGTCCTAGTTACTCTCTTTCACATTCACCGCACCACGCCCAGAAAGTAGGTACAATTTAAATTACATTTTAAACCCTCACTTATGACTTTCAAAATTAAACTATTTAAAGAACTAGTCTTTGCAGATTCCATTTTTGCAATTGGTTTCTTGTATTTGAAACTAATAGATATAGAGCATAAAAGCTGTTTCATTTAACAGTCAAAATTTCAATTAGTCTCAAAATTTAGTTTAAATTCAGGGATCCACAAATGTTAAAGACACATTAAAATAACAATTTAATCTTAATTTGTTATTAATTTACTTTTACATCCAAAAAAACTACCTCTTTTGGTTTGGTAAATCCATTCAACCATTTCCTTTTACGATAACAAATTGAAGAATTATTAAATTTTTTCATCCCATTTACTAAATATTGGCATTTAATCTTACAGCCATGACGTTTTAATATTCCTAACAGGGCAAGAGGAAATTGAATCATTGGCCCATCAAATTCGCCAGCTTGCAAAGGTGAGTGCAATTTTTCAAAAGAAACAGATTACAAATGAATAAAAATAAGTTTTTGATTATTACAGATTGATATGACTGGAACTACGGATCTCCGGGTGTTCACGTTATACGCTCAATTATCGCAGGGCAAACAACTGGAGTGTTTCCTACCGACACCGGTAAACGTGCGAAAAGTAATATTGGCCACTAATATAGCAGAAACCTCCATTACGATACCCGGCATTCGTTGTGTCATCGATTGCGGATTTGTAAAGGAAAAGTCATTCAATACCTCCGACGGACTGGATGTCCTAAAGTCAGTGCGAATATCGCGGGCACAAGCCTGGCAGAGATCAGGACGAGCAGGTCGCGATGCGGATGGCACTTGCTACCGGGCGTATACAAAAAGAGAAATGGAGTCGTTTGCAGATGCTACGCAACCGGAGATCTTGAGAACGAATCCCACTTCAATGGTACTGCAACTTCTCGCCCTGGACATCGACTGCAATAATTTTGACTTTTTGGACGCCCCACTTGAGGAAGGACTAAGGAGTGCGTATAAAAGCCTGGATGCCCTTGGGGCCATTAAGAGTGGGTCAGTCTCACTTATCACCCCTTTGGGTCGACAAATGGTGCAGTATCCTTTGGATCCGAAATATTCAAAGTTGCTGCTAACTGCATCATCGTTCGGCTGCATGGAGGAAATTCTGAGCCTCGTGTCCGTGCTCTCGAGTGATCATGTCTTCGTTTCGAATAGCGACAAAAATGAAATGGCCGCTTTAGCTCATGCAAAGTTTCAGTCCAAGCACGGCGATCATTTAACGCTACTAAATGTATTTAATGCATTTTGCAAAACAGAAAAGCCAAAGGTAAATATTTATGAGAAATAATGAAGAAATGATTATTTTCAAATTTCTTGATTTTGTTTTAGATGTGGTCTCACGACAACTATTTAAATTTGCGTAGTTTAACGTACGCCCGAAATGTTCGTCGACAATTGGCAGAAATTAGCGAGCGACTAAATTTGGTTTTCAATAGTTCTGATGACATCGAAATGCTTAAAAAATGTATTTTAAACGGATTTTTCGAAAATATTGCCGTCTTGCAACGGGATGGATTCTACATAACCGTTTCCGGCAACATCAGGGCCAAAATTCATCCGTCAAGTGTTTTGCATGGCAAGTACAAGCCGAACTATATTCTTTTCACTGAAATAGTTCAAACCGAACAAACATTTCTACGCCAAGTCACGGAAATATCCATTGAATGGATTACAGAGATTGTGCCGTTCGTTAAAAATATACCATCGAGATAAAATAAAGTTTTAAACTGTTGAATATACGTTATGTAGTTTTTTTCTTTAGCATTCTGAAAGATATTAAACATTTCTGATATTGATCAGTTCAGAAGTTGTTTTACTTTTTTCTATTTAAGCTGCATGTTTAGTTAGTTTTTTCACCAAAAATGTAAAATGTAAACTTTCCCAAAAGTTGTTTTTTTTTCTTATTATTTATTGTACCTTAACCGGTTAACATTTAAAATATTTTTGAGATTATTTCAATACAACTATGGGATTGATTTATAGAATTCCCGCAAGTGCTGTCTCGTGTTCAGCAGCAGCAACTTGTTTATGGTACCTTAATCTAGCATTACTTACAGGAGCCCCTGAAAAATAGAAAAGAAATATATGAATTAATAAATATTGTGCCTTGAGGAGAATGATATATTTACTCACCAATATAACTTAACAGAACCGGTAGAAAGATCAGACCATGCGCCGCCCCTATTACCACAATGCCCAAGTACATGCGGAAATAAAACACTTGAAATATTTGACTTTTAGCAAAAGCTAGCACTAGAATGCCTGCAAATTTGGTTAAAGTAATTCCGGAGAAAATGGAACTACCCATTTTCGAGAGGCTGTCTGCTGCTCTATCAATTTGACTCACTGATTTCGAAGTAGCGAAGCTGTGCACCAAGTGCGAACAAAATTCTACGGATATTCCGACGGCCATAACAAGATTAACTAGCGAAACAGCATTTAAAGAAATGTTCCAATAATACATTAAACCTCCTAAATTAACAACTATCATTGTTATCGTAATAACAACTACTAATGCGGAATGAACGTCGAAGCCCATTAAAATGAATGTAACAACAAAAATGGAAAGAACTGAAATACCCATGCTCTGTAGCGTATCCGACCACATGGTTAAATATTGTTCGTAAAACACATAGAATACTGAATAGGGGAAAACCTCGACCGTAAGGGCCGATTGCATAGGAACTCCGTTGGAAATTAATCTGCCCTGCAACATTTGCGTGATATTTGCCGATATCTTTCTAGCCGATTCAAGCGCTAGAAAATAGTCAGCCGAGGATTTTAGTATGGTGTGATAGGCCATAAAATATGACGTCTCAATGTTCAGTCTTTCATGGCTGTAGGAGTACCGAACACCTCCACCATAAGCGGCATGGCCGGCCTTTGCACACTGGTCGTCCGGATTATCCTTGAGGAAAAATGGCAAATACTTTTCAAACTCTTTTTCCTCTGGCCGTTTAAGGGAATTTTTGCTGATATTACACCTCAAGCAGGAAGTATCTGAAATGTTTTTAAAATCATTATATATTATTACTAAATATGTTTCTTTTTGGTTTTTTTTCTTAACAAGACTCACCTTGGTGTGGGCAAAAGTCTCCAGTGTCCTTTTTATATTTGCAGCAAGAAGATGCTGCTGCTGCCCAGTCAAAGTAGTCATCGATCCAACTTGATGCTGGACGAGCGATATATGTTTGATTTGAGTGTCTACTGGCTAGGTAAATTTGCGTTAACACGCTGTCATCGTTGCAATATTGACCTGCACACACTAGATTCTGATCCGAACTATTTGTATAAACTAAATCACCCTTTAGGACAAAGTACACTGGCGGACCGATGTTGAGATTCTCGTTCAACGACTGGAAGTAATGTAAAACAAAACTATCCTGTGGCATGGCCAGCTCTTGGTCAAGCCCAATGTCAATCTTTGGCGCAATGGCAATGCTGAAGCACAGCCACGCAAAGAAGATGACCATTACACTAGCTCGAACAACTTTCTTCATTAAAAATGGAACGTAAACACTACTGAAAAATTTGTACAAAAGACCTTCACTGCTAACTACACTATCGGACTTCTTTCCTTTGATGAAACAACAGATATCCATTCGATTCTCCTCCTTGCGTTTCGTATCTAAAGTGAATAGGCTTACGAAACATGTTATTTGCAATAAAAAGTCAATGATAAGGGCTACGCCAGCGTATAAAGCAAAAGCCCTTACAGCTGGCATATCAGAAAGGCCACCAAGGAAGAAGCAAAAGCTCTCACTCAAGGATGTGAGCAGCATGCTGGGTCCAACACGACCCAGTATTCGACCAATTTGCTGCTCAAGCGTTTCATTGGGTTTGCGTTGATCGCGCTGGTGAGTTTGGACAAGGATAAAAATGTTGTCCACTCCAACGGCTAATACTAAAAAGGGTATAACTTCCACAATAATGAGGGTGGCCGGCAAGCCGAGGTAACCGAAAATGCCAACGGAGGAAACTACTGAGGCTAATACAATGATGACACCACCTATGCCAAGGGTGATTTTACTGTCGATGAAAACTCTTTTAAATTCCTTAACATGTCCCAGCGATATTGCAATGTACATGAACATAATTAGATAGGACACTAAAATAGTTAAAACATCTGACTGGGACTCTCTATTCAGCTCGTCTTCTATCGACCTCTCTGAAGTGAAAGCTATGTCCATGTGCTTCGACATGTTGTTTTTGGTATAGTTAGTCATAAACTCTACAAACTTTTTCTCCCACATTAAGGCCGGCTGCAAATCTGTTCTGTTGTGATGATTCTTGACCAAGAATGTCAGAATAAGAGCATTGGCTAGCTCATATTTTGTATTACCCGTCAGCTGGGCTCCGGACGGCAGAAAACCACCAAAGGCTATTGCTGGATCTACAGGGCCGCCATAGGGAGCAAGGCATAAATACGGATTACTTATGCAATCGTAGAGGCCATCCAAATAGGTTACCTGAAAGTGTATGACCAAACTGTGTTTCAATTCTCAAGAAATATTTTCTTTACTTACATTAAATCCATTATCCTCGTCGTGGTCATCCAATCTTGATGGATCATCGCTAAAGTACCCCCAAATCGATTGAACAACGCATTTGGACACATCGATTTCACTACCGTCATCTGATAAGGGGGAAAAGCATATATCCTTTAACATTGTGCCATTGGCGTTGATTTGCTTTATGTTCTCTTGGAGATTTAACACCTCCGTCAGAAACTCTCTGTCAAACACAGGACCAAAGGTGTAAGGGCCATTTGAAGTATTGTGAAAAATTTGAGGCAAGTCAACTGCTTTGATTATGATCTGCAATATACACAGTTGAAGCGATTTCATTTTACAATTTTGTCTTGCACATCAAAGTTTACCTGTTCAAGCCTGTAGAATGGCGAAAATTTAGTGTCGAAAAATTCTTTTTCCACTCTGGACTTTGAATTTGGCGACGCCCAAAGTTTAACCGGATCCGTTGTGATTTCAATAAAGCTTATGCCATATCCCAGAATCACAACCAGCGAAGCTCCGGCAATTAATGTCACCCCTGGATTGCTGGCAAAGAACGTTCCCCATCTCGTAAACAAGTTTTCCAAAAAAGTCTCTGTTTGAGCTCCCAGTATTTCAAAATATGAATCTTCCTCCGAATAGACCGTTTCATCAGAAACATCATTGCCGTCTACTTGAAAGTTTTCATCTGCAATTAATAGTTCAACATTTTTTTTTAAATTTACTTTTATACAATTAAATGGTTTGCAAATTTATCTCTCAAATGAAAGTCATCTGGATAAAGTTTTTGTCTTTTCTTTTGTATGTATGTATAATAAGAACCATATTGAAATATTTTTCAATTTTTTGTAAAACCAATATTTAAAATCGGACGACTATAAGCATATGTATCTTCCAAAAAAATAGAAAACTCTTATTTCTATTATTATGATTTTCTATTAATCAATATACGGTCAATGCTTTCCAACATATACAAATAGATTTAAATAATTTTTATAAGTGCAAAAGTAAATTTTTCATTTTGTATTTTTATCGAAAAATCAACTTAACTTTCATTGTTTTAAAAATAGAAGCATAAATTCGATATTAATTCTTTTTATAGAACAAAACGTAATTGACAGTGTTGCAAGAGTATATATGCTTCGGCATGCCGAAGTTTTAACAAGAAAATAACGAAATCGTTCTTCACATACATAAGTGGTGAATTAAATTACTCACCCATTGATGAACCTTGTGTAAATAAAAACGATCCCATTAGGAATACTATTACTCCAACAACAAACACAGCGGCCATAATAACGAAATAGGCGTCAAGTCCTCCAATTTTGAATGGTTCTGGAGGAGCAGGTTCTGGAGGTCCCTGCGGGCATGACAGGTCACAATCCGAACACGAACATGCTGGTAGTTTGCTCTGTAAAAAAAAATAAAAACAATATGTGAACTAAATATTAATTAAATCAAACATTTTGAACTTACGTTCACCGCTTGGTTGCAGGGAATTGTTGTCACGTTTAACGGCGTAAATGTATCGACTTTATCTTTGGGCTCATGCTGAACGTAAGTGATTTGAAAAGGTACATATGGATTTTCGGCGTCCCCCATAAAATTAAACCATTTTGTAGGATTACAGCGAGATGCTGAATAAGCTCCGCACATTAAATCAAGTGCTGATTGACCTGTTTGTGGTACAGAAACCTATGAAGAGAAAGTATTTATTTATTCTTATTTACTTCAATTAGGCGAGACTTACCTGAGAGCATGATTTGTAAGTCTTGTTGATATATTCTGTCGATATATGCAAATCCACGGAAGTGATGTACTCAACATCTGAAATAAACAAATCATAGTTATTTATTTACCTAATAATACTTATACTATATAAAATTCTTTTTGAAAACAATTTAATATAGAGTTTTATATGATATTTTAAATCATTCCCAATAATTCTGATCTGGGTCGACGCTTAATCTACTTTGCGGTCATATAAAGGTAAAACAAATATAGTACAATTTTGTAAACTATTTTGAATTCTATTATAAATAAAACGTTGCTGCCTCGAGTCAGAAAAATGAATCACCTAATTTATACACTAGATATGGACAGTTAACTAAATGCTAATTTTATAGGGCTATTTAATCCGTACAAGGCGAATCATTTTTTTACATTTAATATGAACAGAAGTGCTTTTTCCCCCTTTTTAGCATATTTTACTTTTTTATTCAACTAGCAGCTACTTGGCTTTCATTTAAATAAATATCGGAAATACATACATACAAAGAAGATTAAACTATTCACCTTCTTTATTTTTTTCCGTGGCCACCACATGCATGAATTCTGTTTGCTTCGGTGAGCAAGTAAACTGGCAGATGTGTCGAACCAAGTTTTCCATGCAGGATGGACATCTGTCTAGAATATTACCGGCCAGCTCTACATTTTTATTCAAAAGTTCCACCTAAAAGTAATATGAGCATATTAATTACTAAAGTCTGCGCTGCAAAACTTGTATTATTCATACCTGTTTCTTGTCGCAGCAAAATTTATTCTCGCTGTTCTCCAGCAAAAAACCACATCGTCGTTTCAGCAGCTCCAATCCGTCTTCAGGCATTTCTTTGGCTGTTCCATTGTAGGGACAGTTTTGACTGTGTGAAAATATATTTGTGTTGCATACGCCATACCAAACGCAGTCCTTAAATACACAAATATGTTTGAGTTAAATTAAGTTTAATTTAATATTTAATTGAAAGACCAATATTCTTTTAAATTTAATATTAAGCTTTCAATTCTAAGTTAAAATGCCAGCAGTTAAATGTAAACGATGATTTTGAAGTGACCTGGTTAATCTCTTTATACTGGCCTTTAAATAGCTTTTTACAATTTACATTTTAGTTCGTAAAAACGGCATTACCGCCACCTTTGCCCAATATAATTTATTTTGTAATTGGCTTGCATCTGTTTTGACTCCTTCACGCGTTTTTAAGTTTTCAAACGCATGACGTAAAATTTACTGCAACTATATAAATATAATTTTAGCCCAAATTTTCACAATTTTTCTGGATGCTCTCAGAGATATATTTTCGCAATATACTATGAAGATGGGTCTATACAGATTATGGTGTTAAAGCATAAGTTTCTAAACCATACAAAATAAAAACTAAATTTTAGTTACCTGTTTCGATGATTGTATTAACGTAAAGAGTACAGCGGCAAAAAGGATGTGTACTCCAAAAGCGGTACTCCTGAGTGGGGATCTTGAACTCATCCTGTCACAATCGCATATCTGTAAACACAATACTTTTTAATAAACTTCAATTTTGAGGGGGATAACCCATCTGAAAACACCACTGTGGTGACTAATCGCACGAACCGAAATATTTAGCAAAAGAATTGAAAATCTACAACGGATTAACCGATTAAAAAATGAATGTAAAAATGAAAATGAAATGAAAAAAAATCACCACTTTTGAAATCGCGTCGACATTCCTACCCCGTTAAGAGTAAACTTGCGAAAGCTGAATTAAATGAAATCCAATCCGAGAAACTTCAGACTCCAGGCAAACGTTGTGTTTAATGTAAATGTGTCCAATGGCCAGAGGTATAAGTTTTGAGTGGTTTAAATAAATATTTATTCCTGTTACCGATACAAAACGAATCTGTGTACCCCAGTATGTTGAAACACTCGGAACTCGGAATTACAACAAATAAATTTTCAAGTGGACTTTGCAGATACCCCCTAATTAGTTTGGCAAATTTCTTTATAATTTACTTGTTTACAAACAGCTTTAATGATAAACTGATTTTTTGACAGACTTTGAAGCCCATTCAGTTGAATTGGTTTTAAAGTAATCAAATCGTAATGTACATTATACGATTGACTGGGTTTTCGTAATTGCTCCCAGCAGACCCATTTAATAATAATCCGATCATTAACAGAATATACAAAAAATAAAAGATGTTTTTTTAGAATTTAGTAGTTTTTTATTGCCAAAATTTTATAGATGGTAATTAAAAATGAAAAAATGTTAGTATTTCTTACATACATATATGGGTCGTGACTCCATAGTTATATTTTCTAGGAAAAAAGTGACTAAGCTTGTTCAAACTAAAAATATTTGCTAGGTAAACTATGAAAACATGAATGTATAAGAAATGTTCAACTACCAAGTGATTTCGAACCATGTGAAAGAGTTCTTGGAAGCAGTGGGCTGGCAAGATAAGAAATCTTTAAACTTATAACTTTGACTTCAAGCATGCGTTCAAAATAACTTTACAAAGGCAATTTTTAAGCTATTAGCTGTAGGAAAATTTTAAATTTAAAAGCAGAAAAAAATCTGTGTACCCCTCTGGGGAAAAGTTCAAAAACGATGAACTGAATAATAGAAAGCGAAAACCTGGTTTCCTATTGAAACAATTTGTTACTGATTAATGTGCACCTAACGACGGTTAACTGGGTGAACAGAAAAGGCAGAAATGTCAAGGGAAGCAGTGAATTGTGGCCTTTGACATTGATACGTTAAATTTCGCGCTTAAACTCATTGTCGGTGGTAAGTGGTTGTCGGTGGCTTTTGTGAAAGTGATGATGCAACTAGTTGCCTGGTTATGGAGGGGGTAATTTCATTATATTTTTGAAGTATGTACAGCTGACGGTGCAATCGTCAACTTCTTTGGAAACCGTAGACTGCCTCGGTTGCTTTTTTTTCCACCGTCACATGCTAATTTTACACCTCATCGGTAAATCGGGAATAAAAAATCAGCAATCAAAATTCTCTGCTGAATGGACCCGATGTTTTATTTATGTATCTGTGCTTGTACTGTGGCTTATTGACAAGCGGATGTCATTGGGATTCTTAAGCAATTTTATGCACAAGTTATGGTTGCCAGTAGCCCCATGAAGGGCACGCAATATAGATAGTGTACACAATGCTATCACTTCCACTTCCACTTTCAAGCGACTGTATAAATCGTTAATTGTAAACATTAGTATTGCGCCGAACCAATAGAAATGTTTTCTTTGTTCTCTATTTTCGTGCACCAACATACCTACATATGTGTGTGGGTGCATTTCTATGAAGTCATCTTAGATAAGTTCCCTATTTAATTAAATTATACCGTTATATGCTCAAAGCCCGCACCAAGATTTTCCTTTTTTTATAATATTTTGATGCAAACACTTTTGGGTAGTAGAATATGACCGAGTTACAAGTACGTCAACTAGTGAGTCACGCATATACCCCTGTCAACAAGCCAAATCGGAGATACTAACCCTCGGTCCCAAAACAGGAGAGAGTGAAAAAATAACTGAAGTATACAATTAAATGTAAACACTCCCACTGACTACTTATCAGCTTAATGGGGAAAACAATCGATTGTAGTCGATATACGATATGCCAACTACGAAAGCCAGTAGGAAACGTAAGAAAGGAACACTCAAAAACATATGGAATAATAATAGCAATCCTAATGTTGTAATATAATCTGGGTATTCCCGAAACGTCTGAATCTCTGAATAGTTTATGTGACCAGAACATAATTGCAAAATCGCATCGATCGGATTAATACTTTATGAGATACAGGCTCTTGCAATTGCGCCTATTATAAAAAATTTGTATTGAAATTTTTTTTAAAGCCAGTCAACATCATACATAAAACTATTTTCGAATTCAAAACCAACAAAGCGTAGTTATCAACACGGCATTAAGCTTAAAATATTTAATAAATTTTGATGTCTACCGGAATAATATTATTTATTATTTAAATATTTAAAAACAATTATACATGTAAATATTTCTTGAGAAAGCATGATGCAAATAATACTTTGTATGATGGATTTTCAATATTAATATTTCAACAATGTGATCGGATAGTAAATATATTTGACTATCATTCGAAACTCTACGCAAAGCTCAAAGCTATTTTTTCCCATCGTTTCAATTTGTATGCTAATTTCACCCTATCGAAATACTGAGCGAATTTCGATATTTTGTTTGTTTGTTTCTCATGGCGGGCCATAACTAACTATCGAGCATTTCTACTTGTCATCATTCAGCTCTGCGGCATTTATTTTAAAAGTCATGGTAAAGTGTTTATTGCAAATTATTTAGTTTTGTAACAAACTTACCGTGCCGATTTCAGTTTCGCAACCAGTATGATAGCGATGTTACGGTGTGGAGTCCGCAGGGACGACTGCATCAGGTGGAGTACGCAATGGAGGCCGTGAAGCTCGGTACCGCAACTGTGGGTCTGAAAAATAGAGAAACTGCAGTGCTCGTTGCCCTGTGCAAGCCGACATCGGAGCTGTCGGCCTCCCAGCGCAAGATAATCCCCATTGACGATCACCTGGGTATATCTATCGCTGGAATTACGGCGGATGCCCGTGTACTTAGCCGGTACTTGCGTTCCGAGTGCCTGAACTACAAGCACTCGTACGACTCCACCTACCCGGTGTCCCGTCTGATCACGAACCTGGGCAATAAGATGCAGACCACCACTCAGCGCTACGATCGTCGTCCGTATGGAGTGGGTCTGCTGGTGGCCGGCTACGACGAGAACGGACCGCACATCTATCAGGTCACGCCATCGGCGACCTTTTACAATTGCAAAGCCAATTCAATTGGATCGCGCTCGCAAAGTGCACGCACCTATTTGGAACGGAATCTGGGCACGTTCTTGGACTCATCCAACGATGATATCATCTGTCACGGCATACTGGCTATTCTCGGATCCCTGCCCACAGATGAGCACCAGAGCAAGGAGAATGCAGCTCAGTTTGTAAGTTACACGGGATAATTGAATGAGTGTAAATACTACATACAACTGTCTGTTGCAGAATATCACTGTGGCCATCGTTGGCAAAAATCAGCCATTCAAAATTCTTTCAGAGGAAGAAAACGAGAAATATTTGAGGATGGCCAAGGAAAAGGGTGCTCCAGTGGATCCACCCAGGAACGACGATGACGATGACCGCCCATCCCCTCCAGACCAACCAGAAGCGGGACCACGCGACCCAGAAGTTCTTGTTGCCACGGAGCAGCGTCCTTAGGTTCTTGCTTGAATATAAAACCATCTTAACCCTTAAAAAATGTAAGATTGAAGGATACAATAAAATTGTTCATGCATTTGCATAGATCTTAACACGGAGAATAGTGTTGACACTTTGTAATTATATGTCTTGGCGGCACTTTTAAAAATTCGTTTGGTATATTGTCCTAACTGCATGGTATTTAACGGTGCTCCAAATTTGGTCACACTGTTTCCTAAAAAATATTTCTCAATGCCGGTATAAATATATATTTCTTCAATAAAAACAATGTTAATTTGGTTTTGTGAATGACTACTTACTATTTCGATTGATCATTATGATAAAAAGAACCTCTAGTTTCGACTGCAATTGAAATATTCTTATTGAAACGTATTAATTTTGATTAATTACATAACGAAAGTCTTAACAAATCGCCTTCAATAATCGAAGATTTTAATCAAAACCTTATGAATCTTACAAAAAAAACATTGTTTATAAACTTTTAATATTTACTAACTCTTACTCGAAATGTTCACCATTGCTTTGGACAATTTATTTTAGATGGTAGAATAGTTAATCAACAGGTTGAGTACACGAGCCTTACTCCTTAATAAATATGTGTTTATTTCAGACAAGATGACTTTACCCGATCTTGTGTCCAGTCTGTCGTCGAATCCCTATTTCGGGGCTGGTTTCGGATTGTTTGGAGTGGGCGCTGCGGCTGCAATATTGCGAAAGGGTCTTCAGGGCGGATTAATCCTGTTCCGACGGCACTGTATGATTACCCTGGAGGTGCCGTGCAGGGACAAGTCCTATCAGTGGCTATTGAAATGGATCACAATTAGAGGAGCCCGCAAGACGCAGCACTTGAGCGTGGAGACGAACTTTGTCCAGAACGACAATGGCACGATCAAAACCAGCTATGACTTCATACCCAGCATCGGCAAGCACTTGTTCCATTACAAAGGCAACTGGATTCAGGTGGAGCGAACCAGGGAACAGCAGACACTGGACCTCCACATGGGAGTTCCATGGGAAACGGTGACACTCACAGCGTTTGGAAACAATAAGGCTATTTATTTTGACATCTTAGAAGAGGCTAGACAATTGGCATTGGAAGCCACCGAAGGAAAAACGGTGCTATACACAGCGATGGGTGCGGAATGGAGACCCTTTGGTCATCCACGAAGGAGACGTCCCACTGGATCGGTGGTCTTGGATCGGGGAACGTCCGAAAGAATCATTGCCGACTGTCAGGACTTTATTAAGAGTTCTATGTGGTACACTCAGCGCGGAATTCCCTACCGAAGAGGATATCTCCTCTACGGGCCTCCAGGCTGCGGAAAGTCTAGCTTTATTACTGCCTTGGCTGGCGAATTGGAGTACAGCGTTTGCTTGCTGAACTTGTCTGAAAGAGGCCTCACCGACGACCGACTAAATCACCTGTTAAACGTGGCGCCAGAACAAAGTATCATCCTGCTGGAGGATATTGACGCAGCATTCGTCTCACGGGAAGCAACTCCACAGCAAAAGTCCGCTTTTGACGGCCTGAACAGGATTACGTTTAGTGGACTGCTGAACTGTTTGGATGGAGTGGGTTCCACAGAAGCCAGAATTGTCTTCATGACAACGAATTATATTGACCGACTAGATCCCGCCCTAGTTCGACCTGGTAGAATAGATTTAAAGGAATACATAGGCTATTGTACGCAGTATCAATTGGAAGAAATGTTTAAAAACTTCTTTGCCAACGGAGACACCACAAAGGCGGAGGAATTTGCAAAACGTGTTAATTCCTTTGGTCGTGATGCAAGTCCGGCTCAAATTCAAGGCTTTTTCATGAAACATAAATTATCCTCCCCGCAAACAGTCATTGATTCTTGTGAAGATATCTGGGAAAATGTTTTAAGCTCTAATAAAAAAAATAATTAAATTATGAATATATTTTAACATGAACCTTTACTGGGTTTCTTCAAATCGAAACTCGATTTGCATACTTTGTTTATATTCTTAAATGTGTGACATTCAATTCCTCATTCTCCCCGATTCTTTTTCCCAATCTAACTCGCCTAGAAGAACGACTGGTTTTATATTATGATTTAATTACATTTTTATAGGTAATTTAAAAATATGAACTATGTTCTAAAATATATGTATATTTTATGTGACATTAAACTTGATTAGTCCTTTGATCTTCTGGGCCTTCCAACTTTTCCTTTCCTTTGTCCAAGCGTTCCATTCGAATTGGCGGGGCCCTTAAGTAATTTGTGCCAATCTTGCTCACATACCAAGCTAGCTCCTAACATAGTATACCTAGAAGCGATTTGTTTTACCATTAGTCGGTCGTTTTTAATTAAACTTTGATGATGTACATACCTATCACCAGGACGCAGACTTGATCCACACTTAGCACAACTAAAGCACCTTAGATGAAATACGCAATTAATTATTTGTTTTTGTTGATTTTGTAAATCGATATTATTTATTCCAGTTAGTGCTTTCGCTACCAGTTCACTTGGGGGTATAGTTTCCCCACATCCAGAACAAACTCCAGAGCATCCGAACATGCTGGAACAAATAAGAATATGTTATTTTTGGTTAATTTCAGCTATGTAATAAGAACGTTTTCTGTTGATACGGCAATTTTTCATCTATATTTTGGCCATTCAGATGCTTTGAAATCTGAAAACTTAAGTAAGCTTAAAACAAAAAATACATTTTTAATAACGTTTTATGGGAGAGCTTCGACGAGGAACAACAGCTACTCACTGCCCTATTACAGTATATTGTTTATTTTAAAGGGTCTGTAAACATGACAAAAAACTTTAACGTTGTTAAAAATGTACTTATTATAAATTTATTTTGCCGAAAATGTTGTTGAGACTTTCTAGGGCGGCAAAAGCATCTCAACAGAGTTCCTGGCGATTTATAAAGTTAATAAGACATCAGCTCGATCAGAAGTATCAGCAAATCACGAAAGTGCGAATTTTGGCACACAGATCTCTCACTCGGCAATCAAGTTCTCTTAAGATTTTATCCACATGTAAGGGTATTCCGCAAATACTAAACTACTTTGTTGAAGTTTGAATTAGAAATATCAGCCGTTACTTGAAAATATTTTTAAAATCCCAAACATCTTCATTAGTTTAAAATTAGGCAACAAAATGGGTAGCAAATATCAGTTATCCCGTAGTCGAATCTCTCGTCTCTGGTGATCGTCCTAGCTCATACCTGGAGTAGTCCTTTTTGCAAAGAATCAGGCCTCGCCTCGTAAAACAGCTGGAACCCACTTCTGCTAGCATAGCTCCACAACAGTGACATTTAAGGCAGCCATTGTGCCAATATCTGTCCAAAGCGTATAAAAGATATCTATCACTTATTTTATCTGAAATAAATCAAGAAAAAGGAATAAGTTAATATGTTGTTTAAAATTGGTTTAATCATTTAATGTAATAGGGGTTTCACCACATCTACACAAATTCAAACCGAATTTTTTCGAAGGGATTTCATAAGGCTAAGCTAAATTTTAAAAATCTTACCTCCGCAACCACCACACACTTTAATAAGAGAGTTAGAATGGATTAACTGTTGATTATTAAAATCGTTTGAAGATTCGTCCATGAACGATAGCTGAGACGATGAGATATTTGAGTTGGTCTCGACAATGTCCTTTGTGTGGTTTGAGTTTCTATAATCAATTACTATGGGGGCGAAATTTTCAGGACTAGATGAGTCTTGGTGATGTGCCGCTAGTATATCTCTGTATGAATGGAACGTTGCATTCATTGCAAATAATGTTGATGACTTAAGTCGTAAAAGGCATATGGGTCCTGTTTATGGTTTAAACCTGAAAGGGCAAGAAAAGTATTTTGTTAGGAAAAAATTATATGTTGACATTCGTTTCGTAAAACATAATGAATGTTAGGTAAAATCTTATTACCTCACCTTTTCAAGCTTGCAAAAATTAAGCTCAATCGTGTAAAAACTCCATAATTGTAGGGAAGTCAAATCATAAATCGCAATATTCGATTAAAATATAAATATCTAAAATAAAACTAAAATAATATTTGTTCGGTTAATAATGGTTAATGCCGAAAAAAGTGTTCGACTAACAGAATAGTAAAGGTAATTAAATTGGCAAGACTTCTTATTAAGAAATGTTGGTAAATTATCATAATGTGATTATTTTTACAAAGTCTGTCTTATCATCATTATAATCAACATTATACCGATTTATAAAAACAAAAAGTTTGTAACTTATATTCCTTAAACCCTGAATTTTCACAAGCATGAAATAAAATATTTATTTATCAATCGATGACTGACGGAAACGTTCATTTCATGCAGTTTCTTTCCGATTACCGATGCGAATAGCGATACACAATCAGCATATAATGAATTATCATTACTTCTGGAATTTAAATCTGATTCGAAATTATTTTTGAAACATTGCAGTGTCCACAGCTGTCCTTACATACAAATGTATATATGTACGTATACATAAGTAAAACACCCAAATGTACATACACACATTCACACCAAACGCTTTAATATGTATGTACGTATATGTGTGTATGAAAGTGCGGTCTTATGCCGATAGATTAATCAATATTAATTTTGGCAAATTGCTTTGCTCATCACAAAGTGATAAACTTGATGTATAAAAACTTTAAGTTTATGTCGATTAATTAATACTGATTTGCTGTCAGTCGCGCATTCAAACGAAATTTTGTGTACATATATATGCAGGTATTTATTTCACTTAAACACTGGACCAAACATCACAATTGTAAATATTATCCGCTTTTTCAACTTACACACTCATCAATTAATTATTAAATAGCGAATATTTATTTGACGACACCATGAGGAACAGTAAAATCGTTTTAATTTCAAACACCATTTCTTGTATACGACTTTACCAAACTAATTCATAGATATGAAAGCAAGCAATTCGCGATTGTACAGGGTGCACCGTGCACTGCCTCATTTTAATCGCTGTTTTCACTTATTCGGTGAAAAATATCGCAATCAGTGCTGACGGCTTTGATATTTTTACGGCAGTTTCGATAACTTTAAATTAATTAATGCATTAAATAAATTTACAAGCCGTTAATTTTGTTTCTTGAATAAAAAACTAGTTTTGTTATGGGTAAAAATAAGGTTTTAAAGTTAAATAAACCTTTTTTTTTTCAATTAATCATAAACAAAATAATTTAATATTTCCAGTGGGATTTATTCTTTTCAAAAATGATAAGCAAAAACTGTGCTTTTTCTGTACATAAGTGCGTACATATGTTATTACAGATTTTTGTTAACTATTTCAGCTGAGCCCGTTGTGTTTCGAATTTCCAAAAAGAAAGATTATGCTATTGGCTGTCATACATGCTTTTTGATTTAAGGGCTTGATTCTCGAATGCCTGTTAAAACTTTTTTTGGAAAAATTGTTATGCAAACATTTCTAATATCATTTAATAGTGGCGTATGCTAATGAAACAGTATTTTACAATAAATGCGACGTTCACACATTACACAACATTGGGAACGGTTGAATTTTTGAAAAATGTGAAACCGTGTTGCCCACTGAGCATAAATTGAACAAGATTGTGTGAGATATAACACTATTTTAGGACTGGCCACTAAATAGTACCGGAAAATTGTAAAGTTTATAGTTGCACGGGAAAAGCATTCTCATACTATTACAAGGAACTGTGCATGTCGGAAAATGGATGGTGCTCTGTGGAACCTGGACATTAAATGCTATTGTAATTAGTGTTGCCGTACTTTTCCTGAAATACCAAAAGAAATCAGTATTTTTAAAGTATTTTCAGCTGTTTTAAGCCCTAATACTCAGATTGACGAATAGTTTCGCCTGCGAAAAAACTTTATTCTTTCTAGTGTGACCAAAGTTTTTAGAGCTCTACGGATTTGTTGATCTATGAGAGAGCGAGAGGCAAATAAACGCCGTACATTTTACGTCAGTGCCTTTTTTCACCACGGTACTCAGATCGACGAAAAAATACCAGAAAATTGCAAAGTCGCGGTCGAAAATATAGCTGAAAACATTTATAAAGATTGTAATTCATAATTTTACATTGTTAAATATTACACATTGATTTACAGTAATTGTGAACAAGCCCAGCTGACTGACAGTGAGACCGTGAGAAAAAACTTCGGTCACACCAGAAAGAATAAACTTTTTCAAGCTGGCGTAACTGTTCGTCGATCTTAGCACTCAGCTTTAACGAAAAAGTGTACTTCAGTTATTGCCCTCTCGCTCTCTCTCATAGGTGATGAACTTATGTCGTCGATCTGAGTTGTAGGTATTAGAGACTACTATTTCAAAAATACTTAGTAACGTATTTCTTTATTCTTATTATTTAGGTAAAAATAAGTTAAGTCATCAAATATAAAAGTATTTAAACAAATTATTTATTCAAATATTGTAATTCTTAATTAAATTTTTTCTTGAAAATAACAATCTCTTAACTTAACTATGGATTAAATTTTTATGAAGTTAAATCAATGGAAATTATTCGGCCAGTGCTATTAAACGGCGGAGCCGCGGAAAGGGCGTCAAACGTACTACTCTCAGTAGTTTGATTTGCTGTGCTCTTTTCGGAGTTAGCTGAACGACCGTACCAGTCTGTGAGTGTAACCAAATTCTTCGAAAAATTGCAGTTTTCTTGATTGTATTCCTTTCTGTGTCCTTCTGAATCAGAAAAAGTATTCGATGTACTCAGAGGACTAACCATTGAATGATTTGACATGGAGTCAACCGTGCAACGACTTAATACCGAATTAGCCTTATAATTTGAAAAAATGTATAAGGACTGTTGTAAGGGCTTAACAGAACTATCTACTACGGATTCTGGTTCAGAAGTATATTTACTTGGCTCAATGGTTCGCCTACTGGACTTTCTGTTGTTATGTGTAAGTTTTATTATAGTAAGTGCATCCGAACCAAGAACTTTGGGCAAGCCAATTGTTTGCTCATCATCATCAGAGGAGCATAAGTCAATTGTATCAACAACTACTTCACTAGAAGGTGAAATCCTCCAATGCGAATTAAGCGAATTGTGGCGCGTTAGTCTTATATTAAGCTTTGTATTTGCAGTGTGATTTTGCTCTTCCATTATGTGTTCTGATATCTTTTTCAATCTGACAGAAATTGGACGGCATTGCTTGATTAGCGGAGAGTTTAAAAACAAAAAATTCTCAGTTGTGTCCCTGCGTTTAACAAATTGACGTCGCGGAAATGAATATACATGGTAATTATGTTCATGCGACTTTTTAAATGTGCAATGCACGGTGGTGTTTGATTTTTTCTCGAAATATTTTTGCCTTGTGTTTGATTTTATGATTATTGGCGTGTAACAAAATCGGTCCAGGCGTTCCTGTCTTTCGGAAATATATTCCTTAGATATTGTTTGTTTCGTAGACTTTAACAATTGCTGTCCTGCAGGTGATGATATTGGGATAAACGAACACCTACTAAAAGAATGAACTGTTCGATTCCTTCGCGATGGTAAACGCCTTTTTCTGTTTGATATTTCCGTTGACGTTTCCTCACTAAATGAATATGTTTTTTGTTTCTCATTGGATGAACTGATATCAATGAATTTAGATTGCAGGCTAAAGTTTAAAAGAAAGGCGTTGCGCAGTTCAATATCTTCGTTTTTCCCCTCACATTTGTTATCTGGCTCAGGGGAATCACAAAGTATAACATCATCTTCCATGCAACAAATGTTTTCGTGTTCCTTTAATGCAAAAATTAGTTAGGTTCAGAAATATTTTCGATTTTGGTTAGAAAAAGTATTCAACTTACCAGTATAGCTTCTTTAGAATAAAGTTCAGCATCACAGTTGTCGCAAAGATAAATATCAAAAGGGGGTGGCTCAACCATCATATGTTGTAAGTTTTCGTTAATTGAACTGTTATTCTTTTGAAGCAACAAGCACTTCCTATTTTTTTGTTGTCTATCATATGACTGTAATATAACCAAAATATGCGTGGCAAATTATTTCAGAGAGACAAATAAATCATCGCAATTATTTTTAAAGGTCATTAAAACAAAGTGAGAGAGAGTACTTACCATGTTTTCATTTCTAAATGTAACCAGCAATTTGTTGTTTCTTCTGTCATACAATGAAGTCGTTGAGTTATAGTTGTTTATGAATCTTAAGCTCGCGTGCTCATACGCAGCTAAATCATTACAAAATCTTAATAAAAATAAGCTTTTGTGAAATTGATAGCAAATAACCACAATTTCTTTCATTTTTTCCATCCAGTTCTATAAAAAATATAAAACCGTTTATTAGATATTATACTATCAAATCATTAATAGCATTCAAATTATTTTTATTCCAAGTTTTAAAAAAAAATGTTTATTTAAAAGCTTACCCCAACAAATGCTTTCGGCTTTTTCAGCGGAATTTCGAAAGGTGCGTTTTCCGGCCACCATTCCGGTTCACTGCAATCTACTTTCTTTGGTAAATTTATATGTCCTAAAGAGCACTGAACCATGAATGGAATAAAATTTTCTAATTGCGGCTCCGTTATTTTTTCTAGGGATGTAGGGTATCCATTCGCAAACAAAAGTGGTAGGTTGGATATCATATTGTGTTGAGCTTTATCCTTTTCATCCATTGTCACTAAAAGTAAATTTAAAAACGTAACAGTTAGTTAAATTTATAATTTAATATAAATGAAACGTTGGATGTTTCAATACATTTAAACCATGGGATATAGAGCGTTGACTAAAACCTCGCAGAATTTTCGCAAACGGGCTTAAAAGTAATTAAAAACTGGAGATAAGGGTAAAATAATATGGCCCGAAACTTGTCAATGTGTGTGCGGTTTATACTGTTCGTGTCATCCTCTCACGCCGCGCTGCTGCTGTTCTGCCGAGTTGGTCCAGTCTATACTCCGGATATAGACCTCTGCCGACCACTGTCCTAAAGTGTTTCGCCACCTTAAAATCTTAGGGAGTTATTGTTGGTTTCGTTTTGAACCAAAAACAAATATTGGTCCCAGTGTACTCCTTTTTATAATTCTGTCGGAGAACGGCCACACTTAAAATAAGGCAACCGATAACCACAAGATGATTTGGCCCAAGTCGCCAATCGGAAAAATTATCTAACGAGTATGCAAATTTTGGCGTCCAACCTGGCGAAAAATGTTTATCCTCATTAGCTAACGAGATGAATCAATTTCTTATGCTGAATATCTGACAATTTATAAGATCTTAAATTACCCGTTTTGTAGCATTTCGCAGCAGGCGTTGCCCCCTTGCGTTAAAACAAAATGAAATGTTTACGCCTCACCAATTTACTTACTAAACAAGGATATGATTGTGTTCACTTACATACATGTTTATGCGACTTCAATTCATAATTGAAAACTGGGTTTTAAGAAATTATATTTGTGGCACGCCTCAAGTCTCTTAGGATTTCTATACTTCGGGAGAGAGCAGCCCATAAACTTTGTTTCTAACTGCAGATTGATTTACTGAAAAACTAAACCACCAACGGCTCTCATATGTGTATATGTATGCACTCACACACACACACACACACATGTGTATACCAAGGGAAGTAGAATAACTTTGCGAATATTTTTTGCTGCCTAACTTCTGTCCGTTACATACATATGTAAGCAAGTATACAATCACTTCTGGATAAAACACTAACACAAATGGTCATATGTTAAATAGAGCCATCACATATTTATATGCTGTGGTATAAATATCCCACCTGATTTAGACAAGTGTATGTAATACACACGACAAAAATTATAATTCTAAGCAACATTATATTTCAAAATTAAGTTATTCAAAGTTATTTGTTTTATTTAACTGGTTGCTGATGAGTGATTTTTAGAAATCTAAAGTTTTGTGCAGGACATTAAAGTCAGTGCGCTGGAATGCTGAGTCTCTTTGCATATACATATCACAAAATTTAACCAATAGAAAGTAACTAAGCACAGAAACAACTTTATCAGATCAGTACGCACCAAAGATTCGCAATGATTAACAAAACGCAAGACACGGAGATCTACAATCACAAATATGATAACATAGTAACAATACACAACACTTTCTTCGTAAAAAATGTATTTGTTGTAGTTGCTATCGAATAGCCAAAGTGAGAACTGACTGGTAACTGATGAAAAGATTGTGACAAATGGCATGCAGCCATAAAATTGAAACGCGATATTAGAACATGAACTCGTTTCATTCCATTTTTCCACTAATACGTATGTATTGAATATTTCATAGTAATGTTTCTTTGTTAAAAAATTGATATTAAAATTTAAAAAAAAATCAAGCAGAATGTATTCATTTTCCTTATTAACAAAGCCAAACAGAACTTTTTTCTAATTATTTTTTTAGCATTATACCTTACAGCTGACAGCTTTTTATTAGCATGTAAAGACATTGGATTGAAGCGAAAGGGGAAGTCGTTTGCTTAACGTTATGAAGAGGGAGCGCCTATGGGGTTTTCAAGTCTATGCACCAAAGCGCATTTGGAAGATGTGAGAGGTAAGCTTGCATGTAATGGTGAAATGCAGTAACAGTGTTACGATTCTTTCTTTCTACATAAAACTTACTGTGGGAGGGACAGCTTTATTCAGCTTAAAACAGATTGAACTGACGTGATCAGGCAGTGGTTCGTGCAGAGCAAATAGTGTCTCTATATAGTTTTTATGACAATTGTAACAGTACATTTTGCTTCCAAATAACAAAATTCAAATCTATGTTCTCCAACCATCGCTTCCCACCTGTTGTTTTTAATTCTTTCTTGTAAGTGGTGTCAGTATAACTCAATATTCAAGAGACAACTAAAATATCAAGCAAACGAAAAAAGATGTGAGGTTCGTAACAACTCAGCTCGTTAAAAAAAAAATAGTATTTCTCTTGGTTAAATGAACCATTAACCTTTCTACTAAATGGACTTTACAGTAGGGAAGGCAATAAACCAATGTGTTCAGTGTTCTTCATCTTAACCTAACATTGAGCAATTTAGTAAGTAATTCATTTGAGAACGAGCATCATGTTCACATTGACTAGCTTAGTGGATGTTAAGCGAGAACTGATAATATTGAATTGAATACTAAGCTTCCACTTCCATCTTTAAGTGAGAATGAAAAAGCAGCGTCAAAAAAATTGAAACAAAATATAGTTTTTCCCATTCCACTCCACCGTTTCAAGGTTAATAAAAAGTAATATCGCCAGAAGTATCGATATACAATGTAAATTGCTTGCAAAAAAGTTATCGTATTATTCTGCTAATTGTGCAACGTGTTTGGGCGAAGAGTAAAGACTTAACTTAAAATGAAGGTTGAAGCACTAGACAAATTCTGGACTGATAAGAGTCGCTATGATGTCGCTGAAAAACGGTTCTACGAGGGCCCTCAGAAGGTGAGAAAGTCCAATATTCTCATGCAAATAGAAGACATACATACATACAAAGATTTCACGTGGCCGGTAATGGTTTTGGCAATGCTGAGGACATATTTATATACATTTGTATTGGCTAAACGGAGACGCCGAAACGTACATTATTATAACTTGTATACATGCAACGATCTATAAAAAGGTGCCTACATTATCTACCTTGAAATTCAAAAGACGATGTTTATATCGTATAATTTTACATGCAAATATATGTGTCTGTATGTAACAGGTGAACAAGGAGAAATCTAAAAGTATAAATACACTCAAATTAAACCAATCAAAACTATTTACTATTTATTAGATTAAATGTTAGGGCAATAGCGATAGTTCAATAAGGATTTTTTTGATACTGAATCAGGTGCAATCTTTTTCCCTGGTAGAATTTTGTAAATTATTATTTTCAAGTTTACCTAGCCGAAAATGTATATAATTAAATCTGATTATATTTATTTGTATTATATATATGTACGTGTATATATATATACATTCTATACGAATTCTGATAAGCTGGCTAATCAATGCTTCATCTATCGTGATCGCGAAAATTTCAGCATGGCAACTTAAAATATATGCCGTAAATTACACTCTCACTAAAAACCATTTTATTTTATAAAATAATATTGAAAAAGTAGTAACATTCTGGATACACCAAGTCTGAGATCACACAAGTAATCAATGGTGTTGTCTTATTTTTAAAGGTAACTGAGCGCAGCCACTACAGCCCATTAGTAAGCGAAATCGCTAAGGCTAGGGAACACATACAAAACTCGCTGGAAAAGGTAATTATTGTTGTGATACTTCCTTCCCTTTGATGTCTTATAACCGGTATTCATTATTTAGTTCGTCAGTCTATTAAAATGCTTTCTAGGTTCCTTCTGTTTCTTCAAAAATTATTTAAAATTAGACCCTTTTAGTGTTTTAGTTTTTATTATGATTGATCGTTTAAATTGTTTTCTATATATGCACAAGTTACTTTATATTAACACTTCTATTATTGGATATTTATTTGCAGATTGATGGTGTTACTCTGGATGATGGCTCAATCTCCCAGCTTGCCAACCGACTGACTCAATTGGAAAACGAAAACAAGGAACTGACCAAACTTTTAAATTCCGTCCTGAATCGATTAAATGCGGTTGAAGCTCATTTGAACTTGACGAACGGAGAGTCCAAGAAGCCAGAAGCAAAACCAGCTGTAGTCGAGAAGGAGGATGATGATGTCGATCTTTTTGGCTCAGACAGCGAAGAGGAAGGGGAGGAGGCAGCCCGGATAAGGGAGGAAAGACTGGCGGCCTATGCTGCCAAGAAGGCTAAGAAAGTTCAAATTATTGCCAAGTCGAACATCATTCTGGATGTAAAGCCATGGGACGATGAAACCGACCTTAAAGTTATGGAGACTGAAATCCGCAAAATTACCCAGGACGGTTTGCTGTGGGGAGCTTCCAAATTCGTTCCAGTTGCTTTTGGCATCCAAAAACTCAGCATCTCATGCGTGGTTGAGGACGATAAGGTTTCCATTGATTGGCTGACTGAGGAGATCGAGAAACTGGAAGACTTTGTTCAAAGTGTTGACATTGCTGCATTCAACAAAATCTAAAGAGCATACATATATTTTTTAATTCGGATTTACCTCATTACAAATGTTTTTGGGAGTCATTTAATAAAATATTTTGATAAAACAAGCGACTTATTGGGATATAATTTGGTAAGGTTAATATTTTTATTCTAATCTTTGGATATTTTCGGTTTTGTGTTACTTATCCACCGCCTAAGACGATTGCAGATTTTTTTAAGAAAAGAGTTTTTTCTTGAAATTGTATATTTGCCACTGTTTTGATTAATTTTCATTACTTATTAACTTAATATTTCGGTTCACAGCTAAATTATACAGATATTGTTAATGTTTAATTTGAGAGACTAGTAACAATAAGGTTGTACAAATTATAAATACTTAATTATAAGTTATTTAACAATCTAAAGCATAATTTCACTTTCGGGCTTTGTTGAGTTTTTTCGAATTTGTTCACAACTTCCTGGAGAAGATCTTAGCGTTGTCATTGCTGTGCTAGTTGGGGCATATGATTTTGTCAAGTTAATGCGATTTCTGGTCGATATCGTGCTGGGGCTTGACTGCAAACCTATATATTTAAAAATGATAAATTAGTTACAACCGATATATCAAAGTTAATTATGACAATTAGGATATTTCCAAAACGACTGAATTGCTGAGCAGTTGAGTTACTTTTTATTTATTTATGACCAATAAGCTATGAACAACTTAAATTATACTCCTAATGTTGATATTATAGTAAACTTCTAATGGAAATTTTAATTGCTGTAATTCTTGAAAGTTTAGTTAGTATAGAAAAACTAAAATCGACCGAATTTTAACCGATTAGCAAATTCAGTTGTTTAGGGAATACCCAAAAGCTAAATATCTAAGTGTTTAAAATTTTAAAATAAATAATTGTTTTTTAAAATAATATAGAAGGCAATACAACTTACCAAACTTAAACAAAATTTCATTATAAATTCTCCTTTTGAAAACAAATATGATAAAAACAAATATTCCAAGGAGCACATTGAATGAATCGCTGATGGTCCAGAAAAACGTTTTCTTATGGTCGTAAAACAAAATGCTTACGATTTCCAAAAGCCATGTGATGCCCATTACAAAGCATAATTTTGTGTTCATAACAAATCTGGTTTTGTCCTGAAAAAACCGTCTTTTCAGTACTGGCTTATCACTGTTCAAACTTTGCATCTTGTAAATCTCATTTTTCACTTTGTTGCAATATTTCATCGTAAGCACGAACAACACCAAGTTGAATATAAAAAGAATTCCAACTGGGCCCGAGAAAAATAGTAGACTAGCTGACCCAAAAGAATCATCTGAAATTAAAGAAAGGTTGTTTTCAGTTAATCTAAAAAGGAAAACAAAAATATGCTTTAAATTTGTTAACCAAATATAGGGTTCTAACTATAACTTACATGTAAACCAGCAACGACCGTGTCCAAAATTTGGCCGAACTACGTCCGGTAATATGTCCGATTTAGTAAATGCTATTGTTATTGTGGTTAGCAAAGTGGGTAGTCCCCAACCGTAACAAGAGTACCAAATAAATTGTCTTCTCAGGTCACTTTTTTCGCAACTTTTAATTTTGGTTGAACTAAAAAAAAATTATAGTGTTTAAAAAGCTTTTATTAGGAAATTCGTTATAGTTGAATATTCTCACCCGAATGTTTTCCATATGTCAAATGAGGTAATATTCATCCACGAAAATGCAGCCATTAAACAAAAGTAAACGAAAAAGCCTTTAAAGAGAAACAATTTTTGTTTTTAATTTTTTAAATTTAACGTGAATTAAAAATGGAAAAGTTTTTGACAGTTCAACAGTTTGTTGAATACTTCAACATTCTGACCAAATAGGAATAATAAATGTGCTTATTGATTTCTTGCTTTTACGAGACAATAACTCTTGGCTTCATGTCCCAGCAGGACCTAATTGCTCATTGCTTAATTTGAGTTTTACTAGTCACTTACCAGAAAAGAAACAGATGTCGTCATTTGAAGTGGGCTTCAATTGGCCCAAAGCTATGCCAAGATATGCCGAAAACAAACTGCTTACCAGACAAATTAGGATTTTTCCAGGAAGGTTTCGTAATTTGGCAATTGATATGTAAACAATTAAAGTTAG